TTAGAAACCATGATTGCCTTTAAAAAAATCTACATGCAGCTTTCTCATGGGCATTTAATGCCAAAGATTCCTCCCATGCAGTATAGGACAACTTTTTCACATTGATATAACTTTATAGCTGCAAGTCAGGTTGTTAACTGCTAAAGCACAAATATTTGCACCCACAGTTTTCTATGCCAAACCCAAAATCAGTGATTTCAAATCAGCAAGCAAAGACAATTGTCTGTGTTCATTCCTTTCAGTTGTTGGGCATTATTGAGCTTTTCTTGTTGTATTAGATGCTAAGTGAGATGAAAAGGAGACCATTTGGATTATGGGGTCCTGCAGATTTTCAGCACTTATTACAAAAATTACAAACAGCTACATATGCAAATCTTGCTGATGCTAAAAACATAGGTGGAAACCTTGGCTTCCACAAATGTATACCTGAACCTTTGTTGTGAAATGTGCAGGGTTTCGCTGAAAAACAGACCCTCTGTGCTCGTCCTAAGTGCACTAGCTGCTTAGGAGTAAGCTACGGCATACTTTATTCTGACTGGGGAAGCCTTTGGATCTCATCAGCATCTGATGACTTGGGATCTTAATAGTAAGGGGGGTTGGGTTTTTAATCAACTCAGTAGCAGCATAAGTATTAAACATCAAGCCTGAAAGCACAGAACAAACTCGGTGTGGTTTCTGGATTTCATTTAACCACCAGCTTGAGCTTACACAACAGGGTGCAGCTACACATGCAATGCATGCAACGTGATAAACTCCAGAGCACTTTGAACCTGAGTGAACTGCTCCCAGTTCACTCAACAAGGAGAAATGCAAAGTGCTGCACCTAGGGAGGAAAAATGTCCAGCACACCTACTGCCTAGGAAATGACCTGCTGGGTGGCACGGAAGTGGAAAGGGATCTTGGAGTCCTAGTGGACTCCAAGATGAACATGAGTCGGCAGTGTGACGAAGCCATCAGAAAAGCTAATGGCACTTTATCGTGCATCAGCAGATGCACGACGAACAGATCCAAGGAGGTGATACTTCCCCTCTATCGGGCGCTGGTCAGACCGCAGTTGGAGTACTGCGTGCAATTCTGGGCGCCGCACTTCAAGAGGGATGCGGATAACCTGGAGAGGGTCCAGAGAAGGGCCACTCGTATGGTTAAGGGCTTGCAGACCAAGCCCTACGAGGAGAGACTAGAGAAACTGGATCTATTCAGCCTCCGCAAGAGAAGGTTGAGAGGCAACCTTGTGGCTGCCTATAAGTTCATCACGGGGGCACAGAAGGGAATTGGTGAGGTTTTATTTACCAAGGCGCCCCCGGGGGTTACAAGAAATAATGGCCACAAGCTAGCAGAGAGCAGATTTAGACTGGACATTAGGAAGAACTTCTTCACAGTTAGAGTGGCCAGGGTCTGGAACGGGCTCCCAAGGGAGGTGGTGCTCTCCCCTACCCTGGGGGTCTTCAAGAGGAGGTTAGCTAGTCATCTAGCTGGGGTCATCTAGACCCAGCACTCTTTGCTGCCTATGCAGGGGGTTGGACTTGATGATCTATTGAGGTCCCTTCTGACCCTAACATCTATGAATCTATGAATCAGGTGCAATGTCTACATGTGCGCCCAGGACAGCAACAATTTGAGCTGGGGTGAACAGGCCCCCAGCTGGATGAGCTGACCAGGTGTAAATTGCACCCCCAGTCGACATTTATATGTGTGTTTCAGTGCAGTAAAGTACTCCGCCATAAGATAGTACTGTCCCTGACAGTACTATCCTGCGGCAGAGTTAATTAGTTTACTGCACCCTAATTCTGGTGCATATGTAGATGGTGACACTTTACTGCAGAGCTAATTCATCAACTCTGCAGTAAAGCGCACGTGTAGATGCACCCACAGTGTTGTAGAGCTCATGATGCAACTCATAAAAAGAAAAGACCGGGTGGTAATTTATTCCACTCGAGACTGGTAGTAGCACGACACCTAGGAGGTGTGAAATAACAATCGTCTGGACTCCAATTCCTTTTGCAAATTGTTTCTGAACTATCTTCTTAATCTTATTAATACTGACTGGTTCTTTGTATTATAATTTCCCAGGGAGTAGCAGACTTGAAAAGATTAAAACCCTCTGAGCCAAGGATGACCTAAATTCTGATAGCTTTTATTATGCAAATCCTTGCAATCAAAGGCCATCTTCTGGAAAGATCTGAGGTTAATATGAGTTCACATATTCAGGTGCTATCTGAATCATATGCATGGCTCAGTGCTAAATGTGTGTACTGTAGCTTATACTGGAGAAGATTTTTAACAGACCTAATTGATTTAAGAGAATGAGACTCATTATCAGAAGAGATGTGGGCAGGTAGGAGTCTAAATCCCATAGGCTGTCCATGAAACTTTGACTCCTAAATTTCTGAATCACTTCTGAAAACAGGGCTTAAGTCACTTGGGTACATTTGAAAATATACCTGTTCTTTTGTATGGACTGTATGTTCAGAAAGTGAGGAACTCCTGGTTGGGGAACAGTTTCTCTCCTTACAGATACAACTGTGTGTGTGTGTGTGTGTGTGTGTGTGTGTGTGTGTGTGTGTGTGTGTGTGTGTGTGTGTGTACACGTGTATGTATATATTTTTAAGAATACTCTGTGCTTTTGGGCTTTTTCTTTTGTACATAGAAAAAATAAACTAAGCATGAAGAAAGCAGAAAGCATTCATGAAAACAAGCCCCTTGTTTCAAGATGGTTTCCACGCGTACCTTCTTGCTCTCTGTAGTTATCAAATCTTTTATTTAGTTAGCTGTACATAAGGAAAATCCAGGTACTAGGCAGAGAAGGAAATGTATCTGAGGCTAGTCCTATACAAGTTAATTGTAAAACACCGTATCAGCTCAGATCAGAGTAGGATTTAGCCCTAAATGTGGATTGAATCTTTAATAAATCTTCAAAATACAACACTTTTGCATGGATTTTTGCACAAAAAAAGTGGGTGAATAGGTTGAAAATATCTGCAAATAAATAGCATCCCTTGGCAACTGTAGATGGCTGGCACAACTGGAAGAGTTTTAATGGCAGTGGTATAATTTTGACTTGTATAGGAAACTCTTAGGTAACTCATCTACATTAAAGCATTTTTCCTCTTTCTGCTGGTTTCCCAAAATGTAAGAGCTGGAACTAAAACCATCACTAAGCCACGGACTTGGTTATTGAAATGTGCTTCCCCCTCTTCCTTAATACATGAATTCAGGCCTTTTAATTCTATTTGTTTTTACACTAATATAATACCCACGCTTGTAACATGCATTTTATCTGAAACTCTCAAAGAATTTTGCACAAATGCATGAACTGAGGAGTACATCACAGTAGCTGTGCAGTAGACAGATTACGCTATACATGGACAAACCCAAGCAGAGGAGGTTAGACCAAGATTTCAAGAGTAAGTTTGCACGCTTCCATTTTGGGAGAGGGACACCTGGAAATTTAGCCCCAAACCAGTGGACATCTTTAACAACATTTTTCCTAAGGGGGTTGTGGGTAGCCATACAAAAAGTCAGTAAACACATCCCCTCGAGGAACAACACAGGAAGCTCAGTTTTCCATTGAGAGCACAGGGTCTTATTTTCTGAATATGTGTATCCCAGTGTAGATCAAGATGAACTCCTCAGAAATAAGTAGACTTATACCACTGCAAACCTAATATGAGGCTCTGGGCTCTATGTTGTGAAACATGTCTCTTAACGGCTGCTCCTCATCTATTCTGCTTAGATGTGCAGGCTTCCTATACACTTAACAACAAATCATACCAGTTTATGGTCCAGCTGGCCGCCTGAACAGTAACATGATTTTACCAGCTCCGCAGACTCTCCCACACAAGCATCTCTCTAGTCCTTAATGTGTTTCTCTGACTCCCTTCAGGATGAATTGGTTTGTAATTGCCAGAAGCAGCAGACAAAATACAGCCTCATCATTGCCCCATGCATCAGCTCTGTTCTCTCTGAAATCCCAACAATTCAGTGGGACATTTCCCGGTACAGGCCTTGGAGCTGCAGGAAGACCAGCAGAAAATGGGTTAATAGGATACACATCAAGTGGAAAACATTCGCACATAAGAGCCATTAAGATTTGCTGGCAAATCTCCAGCTCGATTGGTACACTTTTACACCGACTCCTCAGGTCATGCTTGGTGGGAAACGGCCATACATTTTAGAGGGGTTTGTTCCCATCTAGGAACTAGGATGTCTGTCATTGTTCGGATATCCACAGGATAGCTGGCTGCAACTTTTAGTCTAAAACTTAATAATCCCATGATCAAAATGGTTTGGGATTAATGAATCGGCACAAACTCGATAAGGGGTTCTCCGCTGCCTAGTAAAAACATAGGCTTGTCTGACTTCATCCCAATGCAGTTGGTCCATTAAAAGATATCACCCACGAAGTCCTCGCCTCTAGTAAAAACATACACCCTATTTCAGTTGGGTGTTGTTAAGTCCAAAAGCCAAATTCTTAGAGACATGAGTAAGCCTCAGAGATGCTCTATGGGATGCTGCTTGGGCAGACAGAGATGACCCGTGCTTGATGCATCTTCTTAGGGTTAATGCTGCAGAGTGCTGAGTACGTACAATTAGAGGCAAAATTGATGGGAGTTAAGGGGCTCATCTTCTGTCAAGAAGGGGTTTTAATTTGTTAGTTGGATGAAGAGTTAATTCAAAACATACCGTTCACTTTAGGCGACGGTGATATATGAGAGACTGAAATGCAAATTGATTGAAAAATGGCTGTTTGATATTCTGCTATGATTGTTTCACTCTGTTGTTTAAAATTCAGTTCCACCAACCCGACTTCAGTACCCAACACAACCATTTGGGTTTGAAAACACAAGCTTTGTTGTCATTTAGGATCAGAAATAATGTTTATGTGGAGTCCTGGTTAATGCTTTCTGAGCTGGGATTAGAGAATCAAAGGGTTAAGTCTCAACCCCTCTCTCTGTCTCTCTCTCTCTGTCTGATTTGTATTTCCTTCCCCTCCTTCACAGCTGTGGACATGGATGGAAGATCTGCAGAAGGAGCTCTTAGAGGATGTCTGTGCTGATTCAGTGGATGCCGTTCAGGAGCTTATCAAGCAGTTCCAGCAGCAACAGACAGCTACCCTGGATGCTACTCTCAACGTTATTAAGGAAGGGGAAGATCTAATCCAGCAGCTCAGGTAAATGTTCCACCTCGAGGAGCGATGGCAGGAAGCCTGATGAAATGTTGTGCCTTAGGCACTATTTAATGGGGGAATTTAAGTTAGAATTTAACAGGAGGATTTATTCATTTCCTATTATACTTATGATGATTCAGGCTCTCACAATGTTTTATTGAAGCTGTGAAAAGTGATTTGTGTAGTCTGACAAGAAAAGTCTATGAATCGGCATGGGCCGCTACAGATGATGGATGGGTAGCTCGATAGGCAGCCTAACGTGAATCAGATCAAATGTGTTTCAGGTGAATATTTTAAGTGGGTATTTATGGAAGATTGTTAAATGATGGTGAGCTGCGGCCTGGTGATTTTATATGATTACTCTTGCCATGTGGAAGCTGCATGCTTCTAAATAAAACATGCAGATTTGTACAACAGGCTACACTATTTCATTCTGTACAGTATCTTTCCATTTAGCTGTGCCTGTGGGGGGCTTATTCATCCTGTCAAGCAGTAACTACTTTGTCACTTCGGTTTGCATTGTGAATTAAAACTACTCATTTTAACTGATACAGAATGCATTAGTTGACTGATTGTCTGAAATGTTTCTGCTGTCTTGGTAAATACAAATGATTTAACTAATATTCACGCCATATAGGAACAAATTTGCCAAACAGATTGAAGTCTGAAGGTCTCTTTCTGCTGCCATTGATCCTGGTTTTATACCGGCTTAACTTCAGGGGAGTTTTACTGGCTTTTACTGAGGGCTAAACCTAGCCTAATAAGCTCTGTGTTGTGGAGATGGTTGAAGTATATAGAGAACCGTTCACCATCTGTGTAAAAAGGAACCAAGTGATCCTCACTAAAAATAGAGGAGACATTATAGCTTTTCCTTGCATTTAATCAGTGCTGATTAAGTATGTAAATGAGTTCATTAGCATTCAGAGTTGTGCTCCTCTCTACTTCTCCATGCAACTGTACAGGTAACAGGCTAACCTCCTCCGTGTGCAATTAGGCATATGCTGCCACAAGAGCTTCCACAGTGCGGGGCTGGACTGCGATTCCAGGCTCTGCCGCACCCCAGGAGTTGAAGGGATGGTAAATGCCTCTGCTTCACTCTGCCGCTGCTCAGGGCTCACCTTGGCACACAGGGAAGGACAGGGACTCCCTACCTCGTACTCCTTGCTCTGGGCAGAGGGAAGCACGGGGAGTATGTGGATCTTTAGTACAAGTGAGCTGGCCGGGAGGGTTGGGAGGGCATGCTGTGTTGAATTATACACTTGCCCCCCACCCAGCTGAGCCAACTAGTTGCTCCAGAGTAACCGTGACTTCGAGTAAGCCTTGGTTTCTTCTTGGGATGATGCCACCCAGGGCCGTAAACTGGCTCTCAGACTTCAGATCTGTCACATCAAATACGGGACAACAAAGGCAGGGGAAACTGACTGTTATGGAAGCAGTTTCTGCCACATCTTCCTACAAAACCTCCCTCCGGTCTGTTAAACAGAGCGCTGTTTTAGGCTGGTGCAGCCTATACCTGCTCTTCCTGTACCCAATCTGCCATTTGAAGTGCTGCGGCCCCTCTTCCTGCCTCCTCCTTTACGACGACGTGTATCCAGAAGGTCGATGGAAGGAGCGCCCTTCTGATCTGCCCATCGTAGTGGGTTCAGGAAGAGGGGAAGAGTCCCTGTACCCTGACCCATCACTGTGGGCACTTGTGTAAAGGCGAGTCCTGCTCTGCCCTGCGGTGTTGTCAGACGGTTATAAAGTTGGAAGTTTACCCTGTTTTGTCACATTCTGCTAAGTTTTGATGCTCGCTTATCAAGGGGATATTGATTCCTCCGTCTAAGATGCTGGTCTTTTGGATTCCCTTAATCCACAAGCAAAGAGCAAATGTTTTCCTGAATGCATCCTGCTAAGATCCACTTGTCTGTTCGTAGCAGCTCAGATGCTGATGCTTCTGAGTCAGCCCGAGAGTAGAAAGAAGTGGGTCACTCGCAACAGAATTAAATGGGATTGCCAGCCAGGCCCCTCCAGAGATCAGCTCAGATTTATGTGTCATTCCCCTCCACCCGCAGCCCTCCGGTCTCTGTTAGTGTGCAAGGGTCAAAGTGTCACAACGTGTGAAAGGAAGCTCTCATTGTTCGGACTCTGAGCTGAGCTCAGGAAATGCGGGATTTCAGCTAGCAGAAGAAATGAGCGTGCCACACACCTTCCTCCAGCCCTTTGTGCTTGGGCTCGCTCCTCGGCCGCGCGCGGAATCGGGAGCGTTTCGTTCTTGCTCTTTGCTTGCTTTACTGCTAAGCTTTAACCCCTCTCCCTGCTTTGCCACAGGGACTCAGCGGTTTCCAACAATAAGACTCCACACAATAGCTCCATCAGCCACATTGAATCTGTCCTTCAGCAGCTCGACGAGGCCCAGGTACAGATGGAAGAGCTTTTCCATGAGAGGAAAATTAAGCTAGACATTTTCCTTCAGCTCCGGATCTTTGAGCAGTACACCATCGAGGTAAGACCTGGCTCGGGGGCTGGAGGAAGGTAGACCCGGGTGTGATGGAGCGGTGGGGGACCGATCGCCATTACTCGGCCAGGATACATGGCAGTCCCCAAAATCTCCGAAAAGTTTGATGATGCTTGTGGACAGGAACTAGAGGGCAAGTAAAAGTCAGATGTCACAGTAGAAATTTAGAAACCAGCAGTAATATACTTTGGTGACATGTTAAGAGAATACAGTAAGATAGGATCACGTCTGCTCAGCTGACTATGTCAGCATATCTCGTGCTTTGGTGCCCAGTTTTATAGCAGGCTGCTGGTATGTCCTCTGAACGTTTCCTTCTCACTTGCAGGTGAGAACTGTCTCTCTGGATGTACTTTCTGGCACTGAGCCTCTGAGTAAAACAAAATATTAAGTACCAAAGCAAGAGATCTCTTAGAAAACAGGATGCAAGTGTAACAGTGATTTTTTGCAATAAAGGGTGAAAAAAGGAAACATGATGTTTATCATCAAGGTTTTTATTTTCTTTATCTGTTCACAGTGATATAAAAGTCTTACAGTGTTACACTTGGGCTGCTTTTTGAAAGGGAAAACTGGGTGGAAAACACTGTTCAGCATATTAAATGACTAAGGCATTCTTGGACTGAGTAATTTAGAAAGAGATTTGGAACCAATCCGTTAAACTATCTACAGTAATACAGATTGCATGTGATACTAAAGGCATGGATGTTAATTCATTTGGATCAAATGTACAGTGTGTTAACATACATGGCCCATATGAGGTATGGAGTTGCTTCTGTTTTTTTACTTGCGAGTGTCCCAAGCCACTGCTGGGAGTAAATCAATCTGTTAATGTGGCATTTTGTTTGAGGTGTTTTATGATAATATGTTCCTGAAGGTGTCACATAATTCAGAAAATGTTTGGGAGGTCTTTACTGACAGCTAATGGGAGCTCTAGAGTACTACAGCACACTTCAGAGGTGACAGTTTATTTTAAGTGATGACAAGCAAAGTCCTATGTGCAAACTTATAATGAAAAGCTGTGAATGTGAGTTCCTGGATGCACCGATGCAAAAGATACAAAATGGTACCCAAGCTCTCTGGTTATTTCTGCACAGCTGGGCATCCTAGTAAAAGCTACTCTATGATGTTTACTATTACAATAAATGTGAACAGTCTTATTAAAATAGTTCTTTGCATACCGTTTACACACAAGCACTCAGGGACTTGCAATATACTGTGTGTCTGTATGAGTATCAGCATACATGTATGTAGACGAGTATAAATACAGTATTTATATTTACATTTATGCATGCATATTTATATTGTGTATGTGTATAAATATATGTATTTCTTATATATGTATGTACATGTATAAACATAAAATAGACACTTGTATATGTGTATATACACATATACGCATATACATGTGTGTATGTGCATTCACAATATAAATAAATTGCACATATGATATGTTTGTGTGTGTGGTTGCCTTATCAACATTCATCATTCAAATACCTGCCATAACTTTCGTGTCTTGTATTGCAAAATGGCAAATGCTGAATATTTAATAACTCATTCTTTATGGGTATTTATTTGCACGCACAAACTATGCACTTTATTAGATTGAAATAAAATACGCCTGTGGGCATGGAACAGGCATATGTTCACCCTCAACATATACTGTATGGTTACAGTGGGGTTAGATGCTTTTAAGACCTCCAGACCCTGGGGATTATTCTGGACTTCATTACAAAACCTAATTCGGGACCAAGATCACAGTAGGGATTCAAATAATGCTCTGCAGGGCAAGATGGCTTCATAGTGCCTTCAGCCATATAAAAGCAACTGGCTTGGCCTTTATGCAGTGCTCCAGGCACTTCCCCAAGGTGGGTAGGTATCTTTATCTCATTTTTATTCTTCGGAAGCTGAGACTCAGAACAGCGATGACAATGGTTCAAGAACCATCAGTCAGTCAGTTTTACAACTGAGTATGGAGTCCAGGTTTTTCTCTGGTTTATCCCAGTATGGATACACAGATATCTGACAAGATATCTGTCTCGCCCTCCCAGCAAATGTCAGGGTAATTGAAAATTGAACATCTGAACTCCCAGCGCAAACTTATTATTATTATTTATCAGGGTTTTTAAAGTTTGACATTTTGCTTAAGTAGGAGCTTGAAGGCAAATGAGCCGTCAGTGATGATTTGCTGATTATTATTATGAGAACATAGCATTGTAGAGAACAAGGGTTGAATAGGGACCTAAGGAGGTCACATCTAGTCCAGCCCCTGCTCAGTGCAGGACCAGCCTGACTACATCATCCCAGCCAAGGCTTTGTCTAGCCAGGTCTTAAAAACCTCCAGTGATGCAGATGTCACCACCTCCCTGGGTAACTTGTTCCAGTGTTTTACTATTTGCCTCATGAGAAATATTTTTCTAATATCTAACCTAAACTTCCCTTGCTGCAGCTTGAGCCGATTGCTCCTTGCTGTGTTATCTGCCATCACTGAGAACAGTCCAGCTCCATCCTCTTTGCAGCCCCCCTGCAGGGAGTTAAAGGCTGCTATTAACTCCCCTTCACTCTTCTCTTCTTCAGACTGAATAAACCCAGTTCCCTCAGCCTTTCCTCAGAAACGATGTGCCTCAGTCCCCAAACCATTTTTGTTGCTGTCAGCCAGACTCTCTCCAATTTGGCTACATCCTTTCTGTAGTGGGGGCCTGAAAACTGGTTGCAGCACTTCAGATGTGGCCTCACTAATGCTGAATAGAGGGAAATAATCACTTCCCTCGATCTGCTGGCTCATCCTTACTAATGCAGCCCAGTATGCCGTTAGCCTGTCAGCCAGACTCTCTCCAATTTGGCTACATCCTTTCTGTAGTGGGGGCCTGAAAACTGGTTGCAGCACTTCAGATGTGGCCTCACTAATGCTGAATAGAGGGAAATAATCACTTCCCTCGATCTGCTGGCTCATCCTTACTAATGCAGCCCAGTATGCCGTTAGCCTTCTTGACAGCAAGGGCACACTGCTGGCTCATATTCAGCTTATTGTCCACTGCCACCCCCAGGTCCTTTTCTGCAGAGCTGCTGCTTACCCACTAAGTCTCCCACCTGTACCAGCTCATGGGCTTGTTCCATCCTGAGTGCAGAACTTTGCACTTGTCCTTATTGAACCTCATGAGATTTTTTTTGGTCAAATACTCCAATCTGTCTAGGTCACTCTGAATCCTAGCCCTACCCTCCAGTGTATCTGCTACTCCCCTCAGCTTTGTGTCGTCTGCAAACTTGCTGTGGGTGCCCTCTATACCATCTTCCAGGTCGTTGATGAAGACATTGAACAAAACTGGCCCCAGGACTGACCCCTGGGGCACTCCACTTGATACTGGGTGCCAACTAGACATTGAGCCATTGGCTACTATCCTTTGAGCCTGATGATCCAGACAGTTTTCTGTCCACTTTACAGTCCTTTCATCCAACCCGTACTTCCTTATCTTGCTTGCAAGAATGTTGTGGGAGACCATATCAAAAGCCCTTCTAAAATCAAGGTATATCATGTCCACTGCTTTCCCCACATCCACAGAACCAGTCATCTCATCATAGAAGGCAATCAGGATGGTCAGGCATGACTTGCCCCTGGTGAATCCATGTTGCCTGTTCCTAACCACCTTCTTCTCCTCCAAGTGCTTAGAAATGGATTCCTTGAGGATCTGCTCCATGATTTTTCCAGGGACTGTGGTGAGGCTGACTGGTCTGTAGTTCCCTGGATCCTTCTTCTTCCCTTTCTTAAAGATGGGCACTATATTTGCCTTTTTCCAGTTGTCCAAGACCTTTCCTGCTCCCCATGATTTTTCAAAGATAAATGCTCAATGCCTTTTTGGCTAGCGGCTCTGCAGTCTCATCAGCCAGTTCCCTCAGCACCTTCAGGTGTCTCGTGTCCAGCCCCATGGACTTGTACGTGTGCAGCTTTTCTAAGTAGTTTCTAAGCTGTTCTTTCATCACTGTTGACTGTTCACCTTCTCCCCAAGCTGTGCTGTTAGGTGCAGTGGTCTGGGAGCTGCCCTTGCCTGTGAAGACTGAAGTAAAAAAGGCATTGGGCACTTCAGCTTTTTCTGCATCCTCTGTTACTACATTGCCTCCCCCATTCAGTAAGGGAACCATACTTTCCCTGATCCTCCTCTTGTTGCTGACATACTTGTAGAAACCCTTCTTGTTACCCTTCACGTCCCTTGCTAGCTGCAATTCCAGGTGTGCTTCGGCCTTCCTGACTTCATGCCTGCATGCCCAAGCAATGCTCTTATACTCCTCCCTAGTTGTTTGTCCAAGTTTCCACTTCTTGTAAACTTCCTTCTCGTGTTTTAGCTACTGAAGATTTCCCTGCTAAGCCAAGCTGGTCTTCTGCCATACTTGCAGTCTTCCTATGCAGTGGGATAGTTCATTCCTGCACCTTCAGTAAAGTTGCTTTAAAACACAGCCAACTCTCCTTGACTCCTTTCCCCCTAAGATTGGCCTCCCACGGGATCCTGCCCATACGTTCCCTGAGTGAGTCTAAGTCTGCCTTTCTTAACTCCAAGGTCCTTCCTCTGCTGCTCTCCATCCTTCCTTTCCTCAGGATCCTGAACTCAATCATCTCATGGTTGCTACTGCCCAAGTTGCCATCCATTACTACATTCCACACCAGTTCTTCCCAATTTGTGAGTAACAGGTCAAAAAGAGCACAGTCCTTAGTTGGCCTCTCCAGCACTTGCACCAGGAAGTTGTCCCCAGCACTCTCCAAAAACATCCTGGATTGCCTGCGCTTTGCTGTCTTGCCCTCCCACCAGATGTCAGGGTCATTGAAAATTGAACATCTGAACTCCCAATGCAAGCTTATTATTACAAAGGGATCTGTGACTGCATTTCAGATTTGGCAAAGGGAGCCTGCTGGGCTCATCATTTTAGTTGTTAGAGATATTTTTTGTAATGTATTTTTCATTTTAGAACAATTACAATATTTAATTAAGAACTGATCGCAGAGA